AACGGTCGTCGAGGGCCCTTGCTGTCGTAGGGCCCTCTAACAAACACTCCTCAAGTCCGAATCCAGCACCCTCTCAAACACGCCTCAAGCTCGAACCACAATGTCCCTGTCGATCTCATTCTCGATGCTTCTCCTTCTCTCTTCCTCCTTCTAGCACATTTCTTCCCGATACCTCTCCCGCTTCCCACGCCGTAGGCCGATTTCCACCGCTTCTCCCTAGAATAGTCCACACGCTTCCGTCGCCTTCATTACGCCATCGTAGAAGCTTTCGCCGTAGGTTCCGTGGTTTGGCGAACCAACCCTAACACCCTCTCACCTGCACGAGGCACACGGGGGCTGGCTCAAAGGGAGCATCTTGTGAGTGATTTTACAGTGAAGCACGTGGCATTGTGCTCCTGTTAATGTGGAGTAGAGTAAGAGTGTAGGTCACGCTGTTATCACGCTCTACCACTGGGGGACCTGCCGTCTCACCTGCACGAGGCACACGGGGGGGGGCTCAATGGAATCATTGTGTGAGTGGGATGCGGCAGAGAAGCAGGGTTGAGTGTGTCACGAGTCAGCATGTTTGTACCACTGGGACCTGCCCTCTCACCTGCACGAGGCACACGGGGGCTGGCTCAACGTGAGCATCGTGTGAGTGGTGCTGCAGAGCGAAAGAGTGTAACACTGTTACTCGTTGCTGTTACCGAGTTTCCAATGTCTCACGAGTCAGCATGCTCGTACCACTGGGACCTGCCCTTGCCCCTGCATGAGGCACACGGGGGCTGGCTCAATGCGAGCATCGTGTGAGTGGAGGGGGCAGTATGTGAGTGGAGGGGGCAGTATGTGAGTGTAGGGGGCAGTATGTGAGTGGAGGGGGCAGTATGTGAGTGTTTCTGTTCTGTGTCAGCATGTTAGCTCCACTGGGACCTGCCGTCGCACCTGCACGAGGCACACGGGGGCTGGCTCAATGTGAGCATCGTGTGAGTGGTTTTACTGGAAGGGAGTGTGTGTTGTTGTTGTTCCTGAATAAGTTATCCAGTCGTCTCCTGTAAATATCTTCTTTCTTCAAAACTTTTTTGTAGTGAGTGTATTGCTGTCTCACGAGTCACCCTGTACCACTCCCTAATTACCACGGATGATTTCGTCCGACACACGGAGTTTCTGTGCATTGCAGGGAGCCCTAAACTGTTCTGTCTGCTACTCGGTCACTCCCACCCACTTCAGGGATGCCTTCGTCCGATACGCGGACGTGTGCTTTGCTCGCTTTGGCGACCGGGTGAAGACGTGGATTACCTTCAATGAGCCACAGCAGACCGCCGTGCAGGTGAAGCCCACTCCTTCCTTCCTTCCTTCCTTCCTTCCTTCCTTCCTTCCTTCCTTCCTTCCTTCCTTCCTTCCTTCCTTCCTTCCTTCCTTCCTTCCTTCCTTACTTCCTTCCTTCCTTCCTTCCTTGCTTCCTTCCTTCCTTCCTTCTTTCCTTCCTTCCTTCCTTCCTTCCCCCCCCTCCCTGAGCCTTACACTGTGGCTCACCACATTCTGCTCACCCGTGCTGCTACTGGCTTTCCCTTCCCGCTCCCCCACCTTCCCCAAGGCTACGCTTATCGACCGTGTACCCATGTGGGCGTTGCGCTGCATGCGAGCAAGGGACGTGTATTGAGGGTATTTTTGAGACGTCTCAAAAATGCCCTCAATACCCAAGGCTACGCTTATCGACCGTGTACCCATGTGGGCGTTGCGCTGCATGCGAGCAAGGGACGTGTATTGAGGGTATTTTTGAGACGTCTCAAAAATGCCCTCAATACCCAAGGCTACGCTTATCGACCGTGTACCCATGTGGGCGTTGCGCTGCATGCGAGCAAGGGACGTGTATTGAGGGTATTTTTGAGACGTCTCAAAAATGCCCTCAATACCCAAGGCTACGCTTATCGACCGTGTACTCGTGTGGGCGTTGCGCTGCATGCGAGCAAGGGGATTCGTCCACTGAGCCATACATCGTTGCTCACCACTATCCTCTTCTCCCCTACACCCCCCTCCCTCCCTCTCAGGGCTATGGCTATGGCTATGGCTATGGCACCAGACCGCTGCTCCAACCGTTCTTCCTGCGAGCAAGGGGACGCGTCCACCGAGCCTTACATTGTTTCTCACCACATCATGCGCGCCCATGCTGCTGCTGCCCTCTCCGTTCCCACTACCCCACCTCTCTCAGGGCTATGGCTATGGCACCATGGCGCCAGGGCGCTGCTCCAACCGCTCTTCCTGCGAACAAGGCGACTCGTCCACTGAGCCTTACATTGTTTCTCACCACATCATGCTCGCCCATGCTGCTGCTGTGGCCGTCTATCGGAGGAGATACAGCAACCAATGGGTTGCCAGCTGGGGGAATGGGGAGAAGGGGAAGAAGGAGAAGGAAAGGAACGGCGGAGGAGGGCGCATAGGCATGACAATGGATTGTGTGTTTCTGTTCCCGGCCGATGGCACCCGGGAAAGTGTGGGCGCAGCGCAACGAGGCATGGAGTTTGCATTTGCCTGGTGGGTGGGTGGGAGGGTTGGTGGGTGGGTGAGAGAAGCAGGAGGGCGCATGGGCATGACGATGGACTGTGTTTCTGTATTTGGCTGATGGGAGTCGAGAGAGTGCTGTGCGGACGCGGCTCATCGAGGCATGGAGTTTTCTTTTTCCTGGTGCGTTGGTGGGAGGGTGGGTGGGAGATGCAGGAGGGCGCATGGGCATGACAATTGATTGTGTGACCCAACAACATGCTACCTTGTCTCTCCTCCCTCCTCTTTCCCCTCACTAGGTTTGCAGACCTCTTATTCAGGGGCGACTACCCGCCCTCCATGCGCCAGGCTGTCAACTGCTGCCGATCTGTTTAAGAGGCGCCTCAGAAACAGACTCTCACCACCACCACATGTCACTCCCCCCTTCCTTCCCCCCATCAGGTTTGCAGACCCCTTATTCAGGGGCGACTACCCGCCCTCCATGCGCCAGGCTGTCGGCTCGCGTCTGCCGTCCTTTTCTGCCACCGAATCCTCGCTGCTGATTGGCTCCTCGGATTTCATCGGCCTCAACTTCTACACCGCTCAGTTCGCCGCCCAGAAAACGGTTCAGGATGGTGGCAAGGTAGCTGACGTGGCAAATGGGGTGGCACCATGGATGGACTGCCACGTGGACATGACAGGTGAGTGCCACATAAGCCCAAGTCTAGGCCAAGTTTAAGAAATTTACTCTCTCCCTTCTCCATTTTTTTTATTGTTCTTTGTTTGTTCCATCCACCCCATTCCCCCCTACCCCCCATTGCCCATTCTCCACACCCCATCAACCCTCCTTTGTTTCCCGCTGGAACCTTCTCCTTCCAGCTGTGTCTCCTGTGACGGGGAAGCTTATCGGGGAGCGCACGGCATCATCATGGCTACACGTGGTGCCAACAGCAATCCAGCACATGCTGACGTGGATCAGCCACAGATATCCGTCCGTCCCCATCATCATCACTGAAAATGGTAACACTTCCATTTTTAGCATCATATCAGAAAGTACGGCGGCTGTTTCACCCAATACATGTGCCTTTAACCTGTACATGCACATGGAACCCCATTTGTAATTTGTTGTTTTCTCGTGTTGCCACATGTTTCCACGTGTTCTCCCCGTCCCCTATACGCCAGGAATGAGTGAGCCCAACCTCCCATCGCGCTCACTGGCTCGCACCCTCTGTGACGACCAGCGTGTTCGTTTCTACCGCTCCTACCTCTCCAGTGTGCTTCAAGCCAGGCAGTATGATTACTAGTGCTTCCCGTCTACTCTCGCTAGCCCTTTCTATTGCTCCTCCTATCTCTCTAATGGGACTGGTGCCAAGCAGCACAGAAGCCATCCCAATTTCTCCCCTCCCTTCTCCCGTCCTCATCTTGTTTCCTTAGTAGCATCTCTTCTCGTGTCTGTTACTGAAAAACTGTTACTGAAACAATCTCAGAATCTTGTTACCCAGCACGTAGCTTCTTCTCTCTCCATGTCTTGTGCAGGCAAGGCGTGCCGGTGGAGGGATACTACGCCTGGTCGCTTCTGGACAACTGGGAATGGGCCATGGGGTTTTCAGAGCGGTTTGGTGCGGTTTTCATCAACTTCACAGACCCGTCGCTTTCAAGATTCCCCAAGGCGTCTGCTCTCTGGTTCAAGCACCTTCTAAGAGCACATTCGATGCACATTAGAGGGCATGCACTACAGTAACAAGTGTGTTAAGCAGTCATTGATAAGCTGACACTGAAAAAATCATCCTGGGTTGATTATCTTTCCACATACCACATTACCCTGCATGTGTTATTTCCAAAATGGGTTGCATAAGCTTCTTGGGGAGGATTCGCTCTGGATACACCGTAGGTGCCCAAGGTGAATGTAGACCGGTAGGAGTAAAATTAGCATAGTACACTCTATCCCACACTGAGAACTGTACAGCACATGTTACATACCACTACCGCAAACTCTACAATTGATGACATTAACTTGCCGATATCACAAGTCCGATCACAAAACCCCGTCATGATTCTAGCCCCACAGCATGCGTATCCTGCTCCCTTCTGTAACAGTTCTTCCCTCGAGATGCCTCCATCCTCATCCACAAATCCCATACCCTCACAGCATGCCGTTGCCATTGTCCTCCGCCTTGCGAGCAGGAGGTGCCTTGATGCTTGCAATCCCCGTCTCCCTTCTTCCACTCCCCTCCACTCTCCTCCAGTCTACCTCTCCCCCCCCCCTCCCCTCTCCACAAACCCTCGCCCTCACAGCATGCCCTTGCCATTGTCCTTGGCCTTGCGTGCTGAAGGCGCCTTGATGCTTGCAATCCCTGTCTCACCCCTTCCGAGGTGACTTTTGAGTCGACTCAAAAGAGGTGACTTTTGAGTCGAGTCAAAAGAGGTGACTTTTGAGTCGACTCAAAAGTCTCACCCCTTCCACTCCCCTCCACTCTCCTCCAGTTCACCCGCCCAGCCCCCCCCCCCACCCCCCCCCTCCCCTCTCCACAAATCCCTCGCCCTCACAGCATGCCCTTGCCATTGTCCTTGGCCTTGCGAGCAGGAGGCGCCTTGATGCTTGCAATCCCTGTCACCTCCCGCCCCGTCACAAGAGCATTCACGTCGTACGTGCCCTCATACGTGTAGATTGGCTCCAAATCGCAAAAGTGCTGCAAGGGGAGGAGTGATGCACAGGTGGGGTGGGCATAGAGAAAGAAAAAGCAATTTTTAGTCTCAACAGCATTCACCTCGTACGTGCCCTCATACATGTACATTGGCTCCAGATCGCAAAAGTGCTGCAAGGAGGAATGGAACACAGGGAGAAGAAATTAGTCGTACAGGTACGATGGCCTGCACGTTGCCCAGGATGCGCTCCAGCTTCTCCTCGCAGAGCACCAGCTTCTCATCGCAGAGCACCAGCTTCTCCTCGCAGAGCACCAGCACCAATTCTACTCTCCCTAGGGTTACTTTCAGTACAAGGATCCGGGTTCGGGGTCCGGGGTTCCAGACCATAAGTATCAGACTCTCACCTTGGCCACTAGAAATTCTGCCAGGATGCCGTTTCCACCCAGCAGTTCCCTGCCTAAAGCCGCCGTTTCACGTGCTCGCAGAGTAATCCATGCTTTGGCCATACTCGCATGCCCGGCCGTCATCCTCCCCTGGTCGTACAGCTGGGATAGCCGCCATGCGAGCAGCGACATGGCCTGCACGTTGCCCAGGATGCGCACCAGCTTCTCCTGGCACAGCTGGAAGGAGGCGAGCGGGGCGGAGAACTGCGAGCGCTGCTGCAGGTAGCGCAGGCAGATGTCGTATATGCCCATGCACATGCCGACAGGGAGCCAGGATACCATCACCCGTGACACTGCTAGCACCTGAAGGAGCAGCAGTAGGGTGAAAAATGGGGGGGGAGGAGGAGCGCGAGAGGGATGAGAGGAAGGGGTTGAAGAAACAGTCAAGGCTGCTGGTGGCGCAGAGACATGTCATAGATGCCCATACACATGCCCACTGGCAGCCAGGTCGCACTGTACCGCACTGGATCCATTGCCTTGCTCGCACCTTGTTGGTGTCCTGAAAAAGAAAGCACTCCTGGCAGCCAGTCACAATCCGGCACAAACACATCTTTGAGGGTGGTGTACCACGCTCTGTCACACTGTACCATGCTCTACCGCACTGAAACTGCTCTCACCTTGTTGGTGTCCTGGAAGGAATTCACTCCTGGCAGGCGGTCACAGTCCGGCACAAAAACGTCCTTGAGAGTGATGTCTCCGTTCTGCACTATCCGCAGCCCGATCTTGTTCTCCATCTTCACCGCACTGTACCCCTCTGCACCCTTGCGGACGATGAAACTGGAAAAGGGGAGAGAGGAGAATAACGGGCATGGAGAAGGAACGAAACATAGTAAATTTTGTTTTAGTGGGAGAGGTGAAACGGGAAAAGGGCTACTAGGAGGAGCAAAAGTGGCACAGGCATAGATAAACAGACAGAGCAGACAAAGCAAAGCCATATAGATGGATTGGGGTCACAACACTGGCCACAAATACGGGGAAACCCTCAGCCCCACAGAAGGTAGGTAGAGTTTACAGAACAGTGGGGTATCGACCAATTGGACAATGGGCAGGGAGAGTTGAATGGAAGCTCACCCGTTGACCTGATTGGTCGATGTGTTGCGGGCAAATATGATGATGACGTCAGCGAAGGTGCTGTTGCCGATCCACCGCTTGAAACCGTTGAGCACCCATCCGCCCTGCACCTTGCGTGCCGTGGTGGTGAGTGCGCTGGCATCACTGCCATAGTCGGGCTCTGTCAAGCCCTGAGGGACGAGGAGGGAGGGATCAAGAGACGGAATATTCAGTGCACGGAAGGAGGTTAAGAACCCACCCAGCCGCCTTGCAACCTGCATGCCGTGGTGGTGAGAGCACTGGCGTCACTGCCATAGTCCGGCTCTGTCAAGCCCTGAGGGACACGGTGGGAGGGATCAAGAGACGGGACATTCAATGCACGGAGGGAGGTTAAGAACCCACCCATCCGCCCTGCACCTTGCGTGCTGTGGTGGTGAGAGCACTGGCGTCACTGCCATAGTCCGGCTCTGTCAAGCCCTGAGGGACGAGGAGGGAGGGATCAATCAAGGAAAGGAAGAGATGTCACCATTTGGGGTTGAGATATGATTCCTTCCCAAGCTCCCTGCTTGCATCTTGCGTGCTGTGGTGGTGAGTGAGCTGCCGTCACTGCCATAGTCGGGCTCTGTCAAGCCCCGAGGAAAGAGCAGGGTGGGAAGAAATATCACGAGTGGTGGTTCAGATTCATATTGCGCAACCTTCCACCCGTCTTGCACCCTGCGTTCCCTGGTGGCGAGCGCTCGTCACTCATTGCCATAGCCCTTTCATTCAAGAAGGTAAGGGATAGAGGGTCAGAAAGAGGGGAGACGGGGAACAAGGGACAGCAGGAGCACAACTCAGCTCCAGCATTCAGCACAAATTTATTCAGCTCCGTCAAACAGATTCATCCCCCTCCCCGGCTCCCCCCCGCCCCACCCCCACCCGCCATCCCCCCAGCACGAGAATCTCACCCAGCAGGCGATCTTCTTGAGCTCAGCCAGCTGTGGCAGATCCCTCTGCTTCTGCTCCTCATTGCCGCACAGCGCTGCATGCACACAGAGAGAGGAGAACAAACAGATGGAGACAAAGGGGAAGCGAAGACGAAGGGAGCAAGCCAAGACCCAGGCAGGCACTAGATGAATTCAAGCAAAAGCAGGGTTTAGGATAGAATACACGCCCAGCTGCACACGCCCATGGACGATACAAGTTGAACAGGCACACTCTTCTTCCTATTGTTACAACACTCCCCTGTCGCAACTACACACACTCACCCATGGTGAGCATGCCAAGTCAGATGTGCGCGAGAATGAAGGAAGCGCAGCTCGCATCCACTCAACCTCAAGACCTTTAAGGGCGCGTAATGATGAATCACTTGCAGGTGTCGATGATGCAGGCCTTCAAACATACCGATGGTGAGCATGCCGAGGCAGCTGTGCACGAGAATGAATGTGGCACAGCTCGCATCCACTCGAGCCAGCTCCGCTGCAGCTACCCCTGCTGCTGTCATTGACAAACCCGGACACCCGTAGCCCTGATGACGTAGATGCATGTAGGGGTGAGAGTGCAAGGGAGAGAGTGAGAGTGGAATGGAGCACTGCAAAACAGTGGACAGCTGGTTTCAAACTCCAAATGGCCATTCAGGCTTAATTCTAAAATTTCAATATATGTTGCTGTACCAGTTGATTGCCTGCAGCTGTCCATCTGACACAGGCAATCATGACGTGAAAAAAATAACATTGATAGAATCCCGCCAGGCAATTATGACGTGAAAAAAATAAGCTCCACAAAAAGCCCGTTTTAGTACGCGCATGTCTTTTGTCGTCTGTACCTCATTACCCGATACGCACTGACCTTGATGGTGGTTCCAGCAAGCTTGAGTGTGGCCAACTGGGGCACCAACTCGTGTGGAAACTCCGCTTTCTCCCAATACTGCACACTCGCAGACAAGCGGACATGGACTGATCAGCACAAAAAACAGGAAGTTGCTACCTAACGACCTTGCCTCGCATTAAGAAAACAGGAAGCTCGTCATTTAATATTAGATTACAGAAAAACTTACAGCTGGTGCAACGGGAGCGACAACTCTCTCCATGAATTCTCGGACTCGCAGCCGGAGAGCTTGCTGATCGGGAGTCAGCAGATCGTTCAGGCCAAAGTAGTCGGACTTTGACGGCGGGAAGACGGTGGCCGGCTGGGCCTGGGTGAAAGTTGACGGCGGATCGGCTGTGTTGATCAGCGACAACGTTGGTGACGGCGCGACGGTCCGTGCATCTGAAATGAGAATGCATCAGAGGAAGTACCACGTGACATTGAATCTCCGTGAAGACGTCTGGGAACAGTTTAGGGACGACAATGCATTCAACAGCATGCACGAAAGGAGCCACAGTGACGGTGATTACTAGACGCACTGCGAGACAGGAGAGCTGAAGGGTTCAATGGGATTGAGAAAATCCGTCGTTCAGCTATGGGCCGTAGCCTAGACGACGTTCGGCACTATAAGCGATGGTGTGTATCAGGAACTCGGAGGACACACGAAGACGCGTGAAGACACATGAGGACACATAAGGACAAATAAGGACACACGTGTCAGGATGGATGCCGACCTTGCTGCTCATCTTCGTCGCGCTTTGGGGGACACAGATGACCGGAAATAACGGCTAGACGGTCCATGATGGCAGGCGATCAGGCGCGAACGCAACGACAGCACGAGGTACGGAAAAAGCGCAGAGCAGCAGCAAGAGACTATACAGACAGATCAACAGGCTTGTCCGCGTTGATGTGAAACTGATAAGGCGTGAGGGAGACTTGAAGAGTTGCTGCTTGCTGCTATCTCCGCTGTTCTGGAAAGACAATGATAATTCATTAACTAGTTATGGTTTCCTCTGCTTCTTTGATGTCTGAGGTACAATTCAGGAGGAGTCATGAATCATGATGCACACCTGCTACGGCCAAGCTCTGGGTGGTCCCAGCTGCGACGTGGTGCGGGGCTACGCGTGATTGGATGTTTGTCGAAGATTGGCCAACGTAACCTCTTGGATTTGCCAACACATCTGAAGTGGGGTCTCATCGACTCAAAAACGGGTAGAACACTGTCAGCAACACGTCGATATGGTGTGTGACTCGGCTGTACCTTTTTGTACCAGTTTCGCTAAACACTTACAAAAGAGCGTTTCACAAGGATGGCCAATTATCAATGTCAGTGTTCAGATTCTTTAGACACAACCACCCGTAGACGTGGGGAACACCGCCGGTAAGTGTGCTGTAACAGCCTGTGCGACGTTACAAGAACAGTCGCAAGGAGCAGCAGCAAATCTGAAGCTACCGAATCGCGGAAGGGATGAATGGGAAGGTCGTCATCCAATCTGGCAGCCTGCCCCTGTCGCTAGCGCGATCCAATTAGAGAGCTGCGCGATAATCAACATGTTTCTCGTCTCGTCGTTCCTTGGGTATTTGTAGGCCTACCACACTGGAGGCGAGTTTCTAAGCTACCCCACCCTCCGAAGAAAAGTAACATCGAAAGCCAAAAAATGACGCAAGAAAAAAATGCCTATGATCACAATTACATGTTTAGTTTTAATTATCAATATGCAAATCGGAATCGTGTTCTCTGCCCGTTCCCCTATTATAACATTTGCGGCTCGGCCCAGAACAGCAAATGTCCTTCCCGGATCCAACCACCCTGTAAACTAGTCCACCCACCCACCAAAACACCCAAGGCGTGTGTTACGAAGTTCACATTCGCTCAGAATTTTCTCCAACCGCTGCGTAAAGCACGGAAAACCCACTAAACCGCATAACTGGACCCTGCAAATGACAACGCGGGCGCTAAACCCCCTACTCTAGAGGAAATGACGAACCGCCCTGGTTTCGGGTTTCCGATTCCTTTGGGAAGTGGTTTTGACACCGCCTTACTTTTCCGCTCGCGTCCGATTCCTTGGGGCAGCGGATTTCGACATTTCCAGTTTCCTGTGACCAGGAAAATTTTGAAGTTTACCAGGTTTTAGTTTAGTGGCCAGTGGAAAAAAATCAGCCCCTCTCGGATGGCTGGCCATTCGGGAGGCATCAACCCGAAACACCTTGCCTCATGGTGTTTAGGGTTGATGCCTCCCAAATGGCATGCCCTCCACGAGGGGTATATATTTTTTGTCCCTATTATTCGTACACCATGCGACAATTTTATCTTTAATATCCTGATAAAAAAAACAGAATTTCAGTATCTGGACTCAAGAAGGAAAATAGCGTAAATATCTGACCGAAGGTATCGGACGTGACCGCGAAGCAAGGCGGTGTCAAAACCACTGCCGAAAGGAATCGGAAACCCGAAACCAGGGCGGTCTGTCATTCCCTCCTTACTCTCCTTTTCTTGGACCAGGTTCTTAGTTGAGGGCGACGGTCTTTATCAGGCCCGCCGCCGCTGCCGCTCCCTAGCTCTCCCTCCCAACCCAACACACAGCCCCTCAAAGCCCACCCTTCGCACTCATTCTAGCCGAACAAATCTGCCCCTCTATTCTGAGGATGACACTGTAGTTGCAGTTTTGATGCGCCATTTATCTGGCCTGGCCTGGAACCAACCAACGCCATTCAACTGATCGTTCCTCCTCAGACAGCCCATCTAGAGCCTTCCCTCTCCTCTTCCCCCTGTTGAGAATTCTTGAGACCGTCACCACATTTCTTCCAGTTTAGAGAGTCCAATCCAGATTTCCGAACTCTCCTCGCTACTTTCCTTAAGAAATTTCCGTCTCGAGACGGCCTTCACATTTCTTCCGCACGCATCGTTCCGTTACTTAGTCCCGCATTACGCGCTTTGACGCACCACGTGCCGTACCTTGTACTGCTACCAGTGCAACTTCAGTGCCTACCTAGCACAGCACAACTAATCTCCGTGCCTACTAATATCCGCGCCTAGACCCAACCTCCTTCCGTAGCAAACTGTTCAGCTCCAAGTCCCTTTTGCTAGTTAAACGAAGACTTTTGACGACTCAAAAGTCACCACGTAGCAACCTGTTAAGCTCCAAGTCCTGTTGCTAGTTAAACGAAGACTAGTAACCTAGCCACATTTCAGCCTTCTAGTTAGTTTATTAACGGACGTGACGTACCAGCTCAGAGCAGCTTAGTAAATTCTAATCGCTCAACCGAACAGAGAGGTTTTCATATTTTACCTTTAGCCTCGACAACATTTCTCGTCGCGGCTTTTCGTCCGTATTTCTATTCGTCTGCGTAGCATGGCCGTCACCCTCCCGAACCGCGGTTATGATCTTCGCACGTCGTCCCTTCGCCGACGACAATGGATCCTCCCGTGCCACGTCATCGCCCTCCTTGTTTGCGCCAGCTTCCTTGCAGCTCCTTCTCGCGCCGCCCGGGGGGGGGGGGGGGAGGAGGGAGGGGGGGAGGAGTGTTGGGGAGAGGTGAAAAGGAGGGGAGTATGGGGAGAGGCGCGAAAAGGTTCCGCGGGATCGGACTGGTAAGCCGTCCCACGTGCTGCACTTGCGCTTGCCGCGCTTGCGCCTGCTTCACTTGCGCGTGCTGCATTTGCGCTTGCCGCGCTTGCGCGTGCTGGACTTGCGCTTTCCGCGCTTGCGCCTGCTGCACACGCGCTTGCCGCGCTTTCGCTTGCTGCACTTGCGCATTCCGCACTTGCGCTTGCTGCCTAGCGGAAATAGAAAAAGGGAAATGGGGAGAGGTGGGAATGAAGGGGTGGCGGTGGAAGGTGGATAGAGGGGGTGGGGGGGGCGGAGGAACGATTGTGGGAGTAAAAATCGCGCAAAATAAAAGAGTGATGAATCGGCGTTACTCCGCAAGCCCCCCATTTCCCTCCGTCCCCACACACACCCACACCCTTCCCTTCACCCCTTCCCCCCACCCTCTGTCTTCCCTCCCCCAGCATTTCTCCCATCGCCTCCTGTCACCGCGCATTGCCGCCCATTACCCCTCATCACCGCCCAGTGCCGCCCACCACCCATTCCCACCGCCGTCACATGCTCATGACCCTCCATTCCTCCACACCCACATCCCTTTCTCCTGTCGCCCTACACTCGCCACCACATGTATTCCCTTAAAGCGCCCACAGCTGCTCACTTTGCACTGCCCATCTTCTTGCCCCATTTCTTCCATGTTCATATTTTCCTCCCTCCGCCCCCTCCCCCTTTCCCCTTCCCATTCCCCGCCTCTACCTCCCCACCCTGGGCTCCAGATTTGCTTGCATGCCTTTCCCTCAACCCTCCATCCTCCACTGCCCCTGTCCCTCCCCCATCTCCAACCCCCTTCCGCACCCCCCTCCCCCCTTCCCCGGTCCCCCCTCCGCTTCCCACACTGGGCTGCAGATGTGCATACGCAGCTGCCCGGCGTTTGGAGGGCAGTGGGTGAACTGCGGCTATGGCTGCTCCCCCTCCTACAAGATGTGCATCAAAACGGTCTGGAAGCAGGTGAGTTGCAACCTCCTAAAGGTTTAAATCATCGAGCCATTTGGAGGGCAACGGGTGAACTCCGGGTGTGGCTGCCCCCTTTCCTACAAGATGTGCATCACGACTCTCTGGAGGCAGGTGGGTAGCAACTTCCCAGAAGGTTCTAAGCATCACAGTGAGCAATGCACACATGCTGCCAGGTAAGTGAATGATCTCAAGGTATAGGTCTGCTCTGCTTTCCACCTCTTCTGGCATGAAGTATTTACCAATTTGAGTGTGGCCTCACTTCCCTTACTCTCTTTTGACGACCTCGTTACAGGCTAGCGCGGTAACGTTTCTGACGTACAAGGTCAAGCTGCCGGCGATCGACCCGTATATCGACCCTGCCTTTAAGATTTCGAAGCAGCTGAGAAAGGTGAGGCAATAGCATGTGAAACGTCTGCAGTGTTCACTCGTATGTCATTGTACAAATCCACACCACACCACCCATTTCTTCCAAAGTTCTTCCTTCCAGCAACCACTGTGCATACACCTCTTAAAACAACCATCCCGTCTTCCACCTCCCCTGCCCATTTTTCCTGGTCTGCCCTTCCATACCTTTTTGTGTCATAGTGGTGGAAGAAAATCTTCCCACCATTCCTGTCACAACTGAAAAAGAGATCGGATTTCGATACTATTGCCCGGAAAACCATCGTCAGTCGGACTCTCACTGCTCTGTTCATCGCAAGTTATGCCAAGCCAGCTCAGGGGAATGATCGGAGCACAATAACATTTGTGGATCCTGGAACAGAGGACAAGGAAGCAGCACTGGAAGAATTCAAAAACACGCACTATGTGCTTTCAGAGCATGCGTTTAAGACAGGGAAAGGACTGGTGGGGACTCTGGGGTTTTTGGATTTCACGATTAATCTGGAGAATGCTGCTAAGCTTGAACCATCAGGAGTCATTGATTTCATGCTGCAGTTTGGGCACATGCCATGCGGAAAAGGTGAGAGAGGAGCTGTTCTTCTTTCATGTTCTTCTCTCGTCGGTTGCACTCTGGTCCAGTTTTACTTCATTCATGTGTCCACCGCCTGTGCACATTGCAACCTTGTGCAGTGAAATGTGTCAAGTGTTATGCGATTCGTGCAAAGGCATGTGCGATTGCACCAACCTGCATCAACGGCAAGTGTGGCAATGCTGGGATTGAGGCAGATGGAACAAGCTGCACTGGTTTCGGTAACGGAGGCAATTCCTACTCAGGAACCTGTTCCAGTGGCGTCTGTGTCAGCAGCTTTGCCACCTCCTACTACAGGAAAAAGCAGCAGGAATCAATCTGGATACCTGAGGGTTATGAAGATCCAAGCACAAATCTGACTATCAGCCCAGAAGTTTATACAACTTCTGAGGAGGAGTACCTAGATACAAGCTTACAGTTATGGGATGTTCTAGCTTCGCAGTCTGGCTCTTGTGCCTTCAACAATGGTGGCTGTGGCTCATTCATCTGCCAAGTCAAAGAGGGGACGAACAGCTCAAGCTGCGTCAACCCACACGGTGAGCATCAAGTTACTTTAAGCCTCAGTCTCCGTGTTTATCCACATCCTTGGTCTCACCAACCCCAACTTGGCCCCTGGAACAGATCTCGGGTATGCTCCAGCACCCATGGCCATCAATTTTCCGTTTGGTGAGACTCTGGGGTATCAGTATCCTGTCAAGGCCATGGACTGCTTGACTCTTTGCAAAATCAACACCAAGTGTGCTCTTGCCGTGACGACATGGGGTAATGAGTGCTGGCTCAAGTCCAGCATCGGTGAACCTGTCATTGCGGAGACATATCAAGCCTTTAAGAAGCTGTAGCTAGAGAGGGATGCTTCTCATTGCTCATTGCTCATCTAATACACTCTTTCCACAACTGATTCGGGGAAGGTACACATCTTGTGTCACTCTCTTCTGATCATTCTAGTACAGCTTACTGCTTACATACGTTGTACCCATAGTATACTGCATGCTGTTTAATGCTATCTAGTCTACCACATTCTCAAAATTGCAATGTGCGCAAGGAGCTTGCTGCTAGATGATGCGCAAACATCAAAATTCCTGCACCGCTGCAAGGGGCTTACACAGCTTCTCACCATCGCCGGAACCAGTACTACCGTACTCCCCCATTCGCATCCTGGATTGGCCTGTTATTGAACGTAAAAACCCATTCCTCCCCACATCTGCATGATTGTGTCCATGCTAGTCATATCAATCGTCATGACCATGGAAATGTCCTTCTGGCCCTGAGACATCAATCTGAAAAAAGGCAAATCAAGTTAGTTTCAGGTAATACCCCACACCATTGCATCTTGCTGTACGTCATGCCCACCTTCAGTTTGCTCGCATATGTCTTCGCTACTTGGATGGCTATGTTCCTTTCCGTGATGGACTGGAACATGATGTTGAACATCACACCTTTACGTGGAACCCAGCATGCACCAAGAGAAGAAGAATTGGTGCTCCACCTAAGCCCATAGAACTGCCAATTGCCAGACATCAGTCTCCATCAGACATGCCTACCTGTCGTCCCAAGTTAGGGGTGCCTCACCTGCATGGCCTGGTTATATGACTCTCTCCTGATCAACGAGTTTGAGGTTGTGACCAGTTTCACCCGCGCTTTGTTGATTCGCAACATGGCCTGATCCACGTTAGCAGTTGTGCTCCCATCATTGTTGCATATGAGGACCTGAACACAAAATTGAGTCGCAGGCTGACCGCATTCATGCATCTGAGAGAAGCGAAGAAAAACCATACCGAAAATTGGACGTCATTGAGAAGAACAGTCTGACCAAGCAGCGTCTCGTACATGCTCCCTGGAAGTGAGACACATGTTATGTAGACGTCAATCGGCATGTGCCTAAATCCCACCATTTACTGACCTGGTTGGATCTCTCCTGTTGTCAGAAACATTATTCCTTGACATGCTGATGATGATTCTATTGCCGCCTGAATGACACAGCCCAGGTCTTCAGGCTCAGTTGCATACATAGTCCCTTCCGCGCCTGGAGAGCGGCCACTCCGGATCATTAGATAACGGCTAAGAATGTATCGTGATAATTAGCGACGACAATGCATTACCTATGATGAGCTGAGTATGCTTCCCATCTTTGCTGGATCGATACCAGCGAATGCTGCACTGGGATGGGTGCGCCACCTCATCAGACAATGCAACCACGAAAAGGAGGCTTCCCAGCTCCTCATTTCCTTGAATCTCGTACTTCATAATCCCCCGCTCGCCAACCATGCGAGACTTGAGCTCCATAACTTCTGCCTTAAGGCGCGAAACTTCTTCCCCTTTTGATGCCAGCAATGATAAAAGCGCATCATCATCTCCCTGTAACTTGCGAAGAAATTTAGCACAGCTTAGACGAAAAGGCTCCCCTCAAACCAGGATTTGATAACACTAGCCTGATTTTGCATGTCTGTTGACTTGAGCGGGATTTCCGTCCATTTGTTTTCGGAGCGATCGCTAGACCTCCGGCGCAAAGCTCTGCCAACCTGAGAAACAACGGTTAGGCTTTACCAATGCTGAATTTGAAAGCAATTCCGCTCGCTTTTATGGTGCTCACAATCTCCAAGATTGAACCGACTTCATCCCGCTGGCTTCCATCCAGCAGAGTGTGAAGTTTTTCCAAACGAGTTTTCACTTCTTCCAATTCTGACTTAGTCAGCCTTCCGTCGGCGTCCTGCGAGTTATGTGATGTATTCAGCCAAGCAGCAGCAGTGGCGCATTGTCTGCAGCAAATAATTCTTACGTCATAATCCCTAGAGACGACCTTGGTTCCCTGGACCAATAAATTAGGCTTGATGTCAAACTTCTTTGCAAGATCCTTCACTGTCGATTTCCTTGGCTGTAGAGCATCCAAGAGTAAGTCCATACGCACACAACACTTACCGATAGGATTATCCCACTGCATTCCGCACCTCCTTATTCTCCACAGACTTTAGAACATTCTCGTCGGGAGTCATCATGGTGGAACGGCACAACTGCCAGCTCGTAGATATTGGAGTTGGCTTGTATTTGGGATGGCAGCAACCGAATATCCAAGGTTGCTTGATGGGTCGAAACATTATGCAATTGAATGACAAGCAGTGAAAATGAGCTCCATTCGTGTTCATGAGGGTCCCCAGCGCATCGGCAAATCGAAGAGGTGTTGCACTCTATACAGAGTTCCCAGTTACGAGTGTCGATGTGTGCACTGAATAGTGTATTATTTCTCACAACCAACTATACAGAGCTTCCAGTGTGCAGCAAGAAATGATGCAATATAGAACACAATCATTACAAAGAAGATACAACCAGCATAATCAGAACAGAACCCAATATCGGAAACTGGCACCCTAGGCTTTCTGAAAGTCAGGAACAGGAGGCTCATTTGGACCTGGCGCTAGGTCATTCTTCTTGAACTTCTCTTCATCAAAGAAGCACGCCCGTACTGTTCTTCCACCGAAAAATCTTCCATCTAGGTCAACGAGTGCCTTGGTAGCCGACTCCGTCCGATCAAAGGTGATGAATATGCGAACAGCCTCCACTGGTCGACAGGAAGGATCCGTAATCTCAAATATAAGCACCCGCGTTACAGTGCCATATTTGAGACACTCACCTGCCACTTCCTCTTCTAGCTCTTCATCCACCTCTCCAGGACCAACCTGAGCACAGAACCAGCATAATCAGCGTCAAAACCACATATCGCAATCGCTTGTTTCCAACATGGGTGCTTGTGTATAAAATCTGGAAGGAGCAACCATACCATGTTTCTAAGCAGGACAACCTTCGAGGGAGGCCCATTGAGTGCCACACCACCCAGCTTCGCTCTCTTTCCCCCAGCACCAGCAGCATTATTCTCCCCGCCCTCCCCTCCACCTCCTTTCTTCAGCGGCTTGGCAGCGACAATCACTCCTCCGTGCTTGTCCGTCTTCTTTGCCATGAGAGGTGTGGTGATACCCTGCTCCTGCTTACCCAGCCCTTGCCCAGCCTTCCATCCCATCTTCATCATCATCCTCTCTGCTGCTGTCAACCCGTCGCCAGAATTCTTGGGCATGGCAAACCCCTCCGACCTGCCAAGTGCAACAGGAGAGCCCAGTTGAATGATGAGCCAAATCAAGCAAGGCTATAGCTGAAGACGCCACAACGAATGTCATGGGATGTCATGGTCACTTCAAGAGGCTAGAGACTAAATGTTTAAACAGTTGGCTGGTTGGTGGTGCACAGCCACCAGCCATGCAAAGAGAAGAAAACCACATCTACTGCTTAGGAACTGGTAAGCAACACTCACTTAGGAGGTGACGGAGATCTCTCTCCAGCTCGTGGGCTTGCCGATGCTCCTCCCGCTGCTGCTCCTAGTCCGCCCCCTGCTCCCCCTCCTGCTCCCCCTCCTGCCCCCCCTCCACTCAGCATTGCTCTGCGGCGCCAGGCCTCCTCCCCACTGACGCGCAGCTGGGAGCGTTCCGGGCCAGCAGAGGCTGCAGCTGCTGCTGGTGATGCTGACGCGCCCCCCTCCTGCTCTGCTGCCTTGGCTGCTGCCGCACGCTGCAGGAACGGATGACAGCAGACAGAAAAGTCAGAGTGAAAATTAGGGCGCTGATTAATTTAGTTCAGGTGCTAATTGAATTGCGCGAAGGGCTTCATCATACGCCAAAACGCCATGACGAAATAAGAAATGAACTTGCATACAAATGGCTTAGCAAAATGTGCGAGCATGTCTGTTTGTCTTGCCTTGACTCATGTGAGTTGCTATGCCAACACATGTAAGCGCCCAATGCTCACTGTATATCTCGAGAGCACGTACCTCACGTTCAGCCTTGATCGCGAGCTCAAGGTCTCTCTGCCGCTGCAGCACTGCCTCCCGCTCCTTCTCCCTCTCCTCCTCCTCCCTCCTCCTCCTCTCCATCTCCCGCCGCCTCTCCTCCTCAGCAGCCTTCCTCTTCCTCTCCCTTAGTATCTTCTCGTAGTCATTAGGTCTAGCCGGGTCGTATTCGTCTACTACTGCAGCAGCTGCAGCAACCAATGCGGCTCCGCCACCTGGCGGCAGGACAGGGGGAGCGGGCGCAGGTGCAGGCGCAGGTGGAGGCGCAGGGGCAGAGCCCGGGGGGGGATACGGGGGAAGGGGAGGCGCGGAACCATAGGGGGGGACAGCCGGGGAAAACGCTGCGGCTGCGCTTTCGTAGGGGGGCGGGGGCACCTGATATCCTGGATGAGCGGCGAAGCGTGGATCAGGGGAATACGCGGGGGCGTGAGGTGGGGGAGGTTGCGCGGAGTAGGCGGAAGGGAAGGGGGGTGTAGCCTCGCCGGCGGAAACGGAATCAACTGCCATAGGGGTTGCCTGCGCTTCCGTTCCTCCAGCTCCCGGACCCAGTCCCGATGCTGCTGCCGCTGCAGCTGCTGCTGCGGCAGCTGCGGCAACGATTGCGGATGTACCTGTTCCCCCGCTTGTTGCGCCGCTTACTGGTGGCGGCGGCGGGGCCGGCAAACGAGCCGATTTTCCAGCGGGGGAAGCCGCACTGGACGCGGAAAGGGATTGACTGCGGAGGACGGATGTTGGCGGAGCAAAGAGGGTCGCAGCGGAGGGCTTGCGCAGCGCAGCGGGAGTCATTTTGGCGGACCATAGCTTCGGACGACCCGCGGACGATGCGTAGGCGGAAGCGGCAGAAGGATTTGCGTCCGAAGCGGCCTTGTCCGCATCGGAAGGCGGAGGTAAATCTCCAAACAGCCCACCCATGGTGAGCGGAGGTGGCCGTGGAGGTGTGCTCCAAGCTAACAGGCAGGAGTTTATTGTAACAGGCAGGTTTGGGGAAGAGATATGATTCACAATCTTGAATTGCGTACCTGTGAAGTGTTATTCATGTGAATCAAATTTTGATAGCGAGAAAACTAGAAACGCGTTTCCCTTCTGCAAAGTTCGTTGCGGTGGACAGAATGGCCCAATTTTGGCAGGTACGTGAGAGTGCTGCGCAGTGCTGGACACGTTTCTGCTGCCCTCGAACGAAAGAGGGGCTGACATTACTGGCAGGAGTTCAACTGACCAATCAACGTACTCCCTGCTGACTCGACCTCGAGAATCACTAGCCAATTCTGTGCGCTTTTTCCATCCAGCGGTGTAATGTATGACAGCCTTTCCTGCTCAGGTTTCCACCTGATCTTCTCCATGATCCAACAGTTCGAACAGTCAACTGTGAGAGAACACAACACAACAGCCCACGATGACACGAAACCATGGTCAAGCTAAAAGCTAAGGAATCAGGACGACTTCTGTGAGAGTAGCTAAAGGCAATAATCCCGGCGAGGGTAACACAGGACGATCTTTGTGACCCTTGGTTTAGGAATGCGAGGGAAGAGAAGAGAAGAGAATAGAGATCAAGTGTGCGTTCTGATGATGCGGATGTGGGGGGTAAGGTATAGGAACTGAAGTTTAATTTAGCATCACTGAGGCTTAGCGAATTGTAGCGACCATTGTCACTGCAAGACTAGCGTGAGCTCAGGGGTCCGTTTCGTGATCGTTTGTTGGCCTGCCTGCCACGCGTGTGGTCCAAAGCAGCACGAGTACCATGGTCTGTTGGTAGCGTTTATTCGCTCCCTTTCGTGTACATAATTCAGCTGTATAACCTGTACAGATCTCTGGGTGTATAGCGACACGCATGGCGCAGTTGCTTCTGGCGCGGCTACTAGACTGGGGAAATCCTAGAGATGATGGATCAGCATGGTGGTCAGAGAGACACGATGACGATGATGGTGCAGAAACATCCTCGGAAGACCTTCATGACGATTACAAAGAGCCGCCAGAACTCCCCGAAGATGTTCTGATTCATTGCTTCCAACACCTTCGCTCGTATCATGACATTGCAAGGCGAGTTCTAGGATGCTCATCCAGTCTGCAAATTCTCTCTCAATTCCCACCGCCCCGTTTCGCGATTCGCACAAGTCATTTTAATTATCTTTCGTTCTGCTCGCCCATCGTGCTTTACAGTGCCGCCAGAGTTTCGAGGTCTTGGCGTAGTGCAGCAGTGCGATTGTGGGGGCATCGACAGCGCTTGACCTTCGGCAAGTGCCGTAATCCGGAGTTCGCCCTGCCATCCATCATTCCCATGGCTTGCGTCGTCACAGAGCTCGACCTGTACGTGGATTCGTTGTCAAAAACATCAACCCATGTGTGGGGCTGATTTGTTCAACAGCTCGAGTGTGGTCAGAGTCTCATTGTAGCTGTTGGATAAACATACTGTGGTTCCTTCGTGTACAGGTGTGGTTGCCGCTTGTCTGATGCATCACTTGAGGCTGCCAGTAAGGCTACTCCTGTTTGCCAGCTTCAGTCATTATCTCTGTGGGGAGTGAAGGGCGTCTCTGATGCTGGCATCTGCCGACTGGTAAGCCTCTTGCTTCGTCGTGCCTCGTTCCAGTCACTATCAACAAAATACTGCATGTCATTTACAATTTTACAAGCTTATGAAATGAGGGGTATGTTGGCAAGTAGAACACCCATTTCAGAGAGACCCCGAATCAAGCAGACACAGGAACTGGCAGCAAATTCATTTGTGGGGTGGATCTCACGTACTGCCTGTTTGATCAGGCCATACGTACTTGCAATGAATGCCTCCAGGTTGGGTTGGCCAGTCGTTGCTGCTATTGCTATCTATGGTGTACATTGCGACTTCCCTGGAGGCATACGTGTGTGCATGATAGCAGACTGAGAGACTTCCTTGAGGCTTACCTCCATCCATGCAGGTGGTGAAGTGCAAGGGGCTCAAGCATCTAAACTTGGGAGGAACATGTGTCACCTCATCTTCAATCTTCAACATTGCCCGTTCATGCCCATCTCTGGAGGTTGGTTCTCCTGGCCCCTAGTCTTGAAGCAATTTGTTTAATTTCACTCCTGGTGACATGGGCTAAATGTGTATTTGTCCACCCATTATCCTGCAGATTCTAAATTTGTGGGGATGTCGTAAAGTGACGGACAAGGGAGTTCTTGCTGTGGTGGCAGGATGTATGCAACTGAGAGAACTCAACTTGTGGGGTGTGCCGCTCTCTTTTCATTGCCTTGCATTTCTAATGTCTAGATGTCCAGATCTTGAAATCAAGCCTACACCTGGGGTTAGGACAGGTTTTCCAGCATATGGTATTGTGCGGCAAGTAGCTTGACTGATGACTAGACATAACGTTGAAAATGGGCTTTGGTACTAACACCAAACTCAGCTCATTTTCCTCTCAAATCAGAGTCCCTCCCGTTGCAGTTATAGACTTGGCCTGCATGAAAAATATCAACTATCACTCATGCTCAATATAGCCACGTATGCCATGGAATCATGACACTACACCATATGTAACTACATACTACTACCTCTCCTCAAACATGTCTGCCCTAGATATCTTAACGGCCCTCACCATCACGAAGCGACAACAAATCTTCAAGCCGAAACACTACCTCACAGAACCAAAACTCATCTACTTGCCTCCCCAGATTATGCCGCCGTGGGTTGCAAAGAAGGGTGCAAACACCAGCGACTCCACAGCCATCAGCTTGATCAGAATGTTCAGGGACGGGCCTGATGTGTCCTTCAAGGGATCACCAACAGTGTCGCCAATAACTGCAGCCTTGTGGGGATCAGAGCCCTTGGGGCCAAGGCTCTTGGCATGAGCAGAGTTGCCAGCCTCAATGTACTTCTTGGCGTTGTCCCATGCACCACCAGTGTTGGACGCAGAAATGGCAATCTGGACGCCAGACACCAGCGCACCCGCCAGCATGCCAGCAAGGGTAGTGGTTCCAAACAGGGTTCCCGCAATCACAGGACTCAGCATCACAAGCGCGCCGGGGGGAATCATCTCACGCAGAGAGGCAGCAGTCGAAATCTCCACACACTTCTTGTAGTCTGGCTTCGTGGTCCCCTCCATTAGGCCAGGCATGGTGTTGAACTGGCGACGGACCTCCTCCACCATTGCAAGAGCAGCCTTGCCCACACTCTTCATGGTCATGGCAGAGAACCAGTAGGGCAGCATAGCACCAACAAGGAGCCCAACGAAGGCCTGCATCCAACAGAAAAGCATGTAATTTTTAGTTGCCGCACAACTGCGTTGCAAAGTAACAGAAGTGCTCTGACAGAGCATACCTGGGGCTCAGTCACGTTGACAACGTTAACCTTGGCCCGGCTCACATAAGCTCCAAACAGAGCAAGGGACACGAGTGCAGCAGAACCAATGGCAAAGCCCTGCAAGGAGATAACAAGAAACGCTACTTTAGATTGACACCAAAGGGAAACAGCATAACACAAAGCCACGCCACGCGAAATGAATTGTTACCTTGCCAATAGCGGCAGTGGTGTTTCCAGCAGCATCCAGAGCATCGGTGCGCTCACGGATCTCCTCACCCATACCCGCCATCTCAGCAATGCCACCAGCATTGTCACTGATCGGCCCATACGCATCAATGGCCAGACCGGTTGCAAGAGTGCTCAGCATGCCAAGAGCAGCCAGGGCAATGCCATACATGCCAGCGAACTGGAAGCTCACGTAAATCGCAGCAGCAATAGCGAACACCGGAATGATAACCGACTTGTAGCCAAGGGCAAGGCCAAAGATGATGTTGGTGGCCGCACCAGTACGGCAAGAGTCAGCAACGTCTTGAACAGGTCTGGAGTTCAAACAAAGTTCTGAATCAATAATTCGTTCTCTTTGTTTCCATGCAACTTGATGCAACGAGGGGTTGCTAGGAAAAGGAAACAATCACAAATCCATCCACTTACACATAGGCATTGCTCGTGAAGTACTCGGTGACGAAACCGATGAGGAGCCCAGCCCAAAGTCCAGATGCAACGCACGCGAATGCGTACCTGCAATGCCCAAGTTAAGGTGACATGTTTAGTGCAATGCCGGTGATAACATTCACAAGTGCAAGCGCGAACACATTTCGGAATCGAACTCACCAGTTCTGAACAACCTTCTCGCCCTGACCGACAACTGTGATCTTGAAGGTAGGCGGAAGAGCGTAGAACGCAACGAGGAAGATCACAGGAGTCATCAGCACAGTGGAGATCACCAGCTGCTTCTTCAATGCCGGCTCAATCTCAGCCTTCTCCTTCACTTGCTGAATATCCGTTGCGATGATGGTGGTGATCAGGCACACAAGAATACCGGCACCGCTGACCAGAAGAGGGAAGCACATGGCGGAGAAATCATGGTCCTTCCCAGGCTGAGACAGGGCCGAGATCACAAGGGCCGCGCAGGTCGACTCGGCAAAAGAGCCGAACAGGTCGGAACCCATGCCAGCAATGTCACCCACATTGTCTCCCACGTTGTCAGCAATCACCTGAACACACCAACGATGGATCA